ACCCGTCAATTTCGTCAACTTGGTACTGTAACGTTTCGTTTCTTTTGTTTCTTTTGTGCAAATGAGCGTTTAGCTGTCTTTCAATAGTAGTCAGGATTTTCAGAAGGAAGGAAGGGGGGGGGGGGGAAAGGAAAGGGGGGGGGGGGGGGGGGGGGAGGGCATCAAAACGTAACTCTAACAGATATCAATATAAACAGTGTTAAACATTAACTGGAAAGATGAACACCAAAAAAATCTCTGACAGCAAAACAACTAAAGATCTACCTCAAGCAGAACAATCTAAACGTATTAACAGGAAATAAAGCTGCGCTAGTAGCACGTGTCCTTAATTTTGCTCTTGCTGAAACACCTAGGGATGAAAGAATTAATTCCAGTGATAGTAGTACAGAATTCCTGTCTAGTGATTCCGAATACGACTCTGATTTATCTGAAAACAGCTCTGATGTGGAATCAGATGACTCTGAAATGGACGGTTTTGTTGAACATTCTTTTGAAGTACTATTTGTTGCAGACRAGGACATCGAACAAGTAAGCACAGGCTTGCCATAGAATGACAACAGGTATTCACGTAAAGACATTTCTAATTGAAGGATGGTAATCATTGGGGGTGGGGTCAACGTTATTTTTAACATAACAGAGGGGGGGTTAAGAAATAAAAAGTTTGTTTTTAAGGGAGGGGGTACTGCCTAACCTTTTGCTTGATATATCTCATTTTTCAGACCCCGCTCCTGATAATTATTGCACAGTCCCTTACTTAATTACGTCTTTTACAGAACGAGACAAAGTTTACATTCAGTTAAACTTGACAAGAACAACTGAGACAAAATAGAAAATAATGCAAAAGGCAATGCAAAATGATGAATTTCTTGTCAGTAAATTGGCAATTGTAAATGTTTTTGAATATTTTTTAGCTTTTTAAAGTGAAAGACAAGGTCTTTATACAATAACATCTCTCAACAACACAAATTTAAGCTCATTTTTATAATCACACTTGCTCAAACAGCTTTAATAAACAGTTGAATATTTGGTGTAAATTTATATTTCATTCAATGATTAAATAAATTATCTGTGGAAAGATATAACATTATTGAATGAAAGTCTTCTTTGTTTTGCCGATGGGACCCCGCGGTAGGAGGCGAACAAAGCTGCATTTTTCTTGAACGAAAAACATACGATAGTTGGTTAAAAACAACCGAATTGTTAAAGATTTACAAAGCTATATAAAGGACGAATACTTGTTGTCGTAATATGCTCTCCGTATTATTTTTCCTCCAGCATTGAAATAAATTAAGCTTATCTATAGAAATATAAAACGTTTCGAGAAAAAGACTTTGATTTGTCGATTCGTCGAGAAAAATGCTTGTCAAAAAAAATAAAAATAAAAAATATACGATTTTTTGCTAAAAAACATATCGTATTGTGCTCACTGCCATTGATATGAGTCAATTGTTTCCAACTATTCTAGTCGGAGACGACAAAGACTTGCCGATTCTTTTGTTGTACCATGTAAACAGTACAATCGCACATACATTTTTTTCAAGCCAGAGCCAAAACTAAGATCTACGAAAAGAAGAATGTCGGACATGCAAGAAAACAAAGTTGATTTCGAGGCCCAACGTGTGTGACAACATACTCTTTTTACACGCATACTTGGGTGCTTCTCGATCGACTTCTCGATCGACTTCGCGGAATTGGCAAAGGGCTGTCATTAAAGAAGTTTAAAATAGATGAGTTTCCGTCAGCAAGCAAACGTTTTCAGGTGTCAGGCAACCACAAAGAACGATCTGATTGCTCAGCTGAGAAAAATCTATGTGCAACAACAGAAACTTCTCAAGAGAGACTCCAGCGGCGTGCTGCAAAGATAGTTACTGGAATTGGTGAGAGTGATAGAGCTTTAGATGCAGTTAAATGGCCCTCTTTACAAAGTAGGTGAGATGATCATGTGTTCAAACGTGTTAAGAAATGTATCAATGGGAGTTGCCCGCAATTTTTCAAAAATTATTTTACTTTTAACAACACTATTCATAGTAGAATTACAAGACAAAGTAATATGTTACATTTGCCAAAGGTTAGAACTGAGCTTGCCAAGAAATCATTTTACTATCATGGATGTATTGTTTTTAATAGGTTAAGCAAATGATTTATAGGTCTATTTTATTTTATATTTCATGAATTCATCATCGTATTTTATTGATATAGCTCTTTGCATATATAGTTTAGTTGAATACATTATTGTAAATATTGTAGATCAATAGTATTATATTTAGCTCTTTTTAGTTTTTATTTCATATTGTATATTGTGTATGTGTTTAACAGGGCTCCTTTTGATAGCAGAGGCATTTTGCCACTGACTGGACTACCCTGTTGTTTTTTTATTTAAGTTTGAATAAAGGTGTCTATCTATCAAGTGCTTGGTAGCAGAGATGGAGCAACTGGAGGGGAAACCATTGAAAACTCCAAATAATGTAAAGGTATCATTTAAGCTCCAACTCATCCCTGCTGATCAGCATTGGGATTGGGTGGCCTCCATGTCAGGAGAGCTCGACAACACTGCCACTTACTTTTCGTCATTTGCCAATGTGAATGAAGATTCTAAGATGACGATTGGTGGTTCAATTGGTAATTGTGGAGAGGCAACGTGGAGGCCTTGGGACTACAACACCCGACTTGAAGTTGCTAAGGAAGTGGAAAAATTCAGAGGCACCTCCAAGGGCCAAAAGAGAAGCGAGGTGACAAAATTCATCGCAGAGAACAAGTCACGACAAGAGTATATCCCTCCCCTAGGCAAGTTAAGGCAACTTAATCATGGCAGAGCCCCTACATAACACCGATAATGCCTGGCAGTATTGGTTCCAACATTTACTGTTAATTGCTATCAGTATACTGACCAGACCGAGCCCAAGCATGCAACAGTTTTGAATGACTTGCCAAGCACAGCAGTTTTTCCTCGAAGGTTTGAAAGGAACTGTCAAATGCACTCATCTCTACAATGCCATCAAAAGATGGTTCTCTGAGAAGAGAACCAAAGGTCTCGAATTTTTAATCCTTGTTAAACAGGGTCAGAGACAAAGAATTGTTCACTGCGTTCATCTTATCTCATGGAGCATATGCTGAAGACACCAGGGTTTAATAATAGCACAATAGTTAAACTGCCCAGTTTCCAGTTCATTGCAGTGAGACTGCGCAACGCGGTTTCATTGTTCTCACGTGTCGAAATAACCGAGACACAAGTAAAGGAACTGAAAAACGAACGCCAACAGTACTTTACTGCCATCACACTGCTACTGGGTTACATACGACACTGAGAAGCTGTACAAAGATCCCAATTACGGCCTTGGTCTCAACATCATGCAAGGCAGAGAAGCAAAACACGTGAAACTTGGAAGTTATGTCAATAATACCTGTAACGTAAAGAAGGACCAGCGCTGGAGTTTTTCGTAACGAGTTTGTTTCTCTCCTTTGGCTGCGCGAGATGGACCCCCACCATACCCCTGCTCCAAATCTCTGTGTGTCATACATACCAAAGAAAGTACAGAAAAATTTAAAATTAGGCGAGAGGTACTTACCTTGAAGTGTAATTGTAATTCTTTGAGATATGAGGAGCATTATGGGATAATTATGCATACTTCCTATGCTACTAACTGGTCAGCGGTCACACTTCAAAGCCATTCAAATGCAAATTACAGGTTGTATATAATCCCAGGTGAGAACTATACAGTCAGTTCTTCCTGGAGTGCAATAATTGGCGAAGGTTTGATGAATGGGTTGGGTAAAAGCTAAAGCATAAAGAATGGGAGGGTAGCATTATCCCATAATGCTCCTCATATCTCAAAGAATCACAATTATACTTCAAGGTAAGTACCTCATCGTCTAATTTTAAATTCTTTTTCGATATGCTCCACATTATGGGATAATTATGCGACTTCAAAGCACCGAAGCCAATTCAGTCATAAATAACATGATAGCATTTATTTGATAAATCAAGACTTATCAACTGACTAATCTTGAGAATTACATTGCCTTACATAATATTTTCTAAAGGTACGTTCATTAGTCCAATCAGCAGTACGCAA